CTTAACACTGCTTTAAACAACCCAGCTCAGTTTCTTAAGTCATAATTTCGATGTCGACAAGAACTGGAGAGCTCATTTTGCTGTTTGCGATTAGATTTAAAAAAATTGAAATTCACACTGACTCCACGCAAGCATGCGATCTGCTGAATATCAAATGACAGGCCTGCTAAACGTTCTCACAATAACTCGTATGTTTTGACAATCATCCAGTCAAAATCATTTTCGGATAGTGACGTCACCGAACGGAATAAATTCCCAGAGCTTTCAGACGCCTCCCTCGGGAGTTTGCGACTGTATAACTATATCACCCTTTATTAACAAATCTGAGGCTTCTTACTTCTTTATGTGGATATACTCGGAAATGTATCAGCTAAGACAGACCCAAGAGCGTTACTTCCATCCTCAGCGTTTATCGAGTAAGTGATTATCATATCGTCATTCCATTCCACTTCCTGCTTGGTTAAATACAAATATCGTTCAGGGTATCATATGTACTTCCTCCTCCATCGCGGCCGACGCCACCGTTTTCTTTTGTGCATAAATTAATTCATCCACCTGCTGCGCAGGCTAATTAAGAGATAGTGGCTAAAATAAATCCCAGGGATTTCCGTTGACGGGCTGTATTTAAACATTTTCTCGGTGATGGATATTGTTCCACGAACTTTGAACGTAAACATTATTCAGTAGGGTTCACTTTATCATCTTCGCCAGACATCAGCATCGTCATTAATACTCACAGCTCGGGACCGAAACCAGCTTTTTTATCACTAAAACCCAATCGAAAATTGAGTTTGAAGATACCAACGAGGTCTACTTTCCCCGCTCTTTTTGAACAATTTTAACGTAGGTTATATTACGTTTTCCTGGCATTAAAAACGGAGATGAATTATCAATTAAAGGCCTTAGCTGGCATTCTGGCGGGCTCAAACTGCTGCAAAACTTCCGCTTAGCGGAAGGGCAATAAACCAACTGAGCTAACCGGGCGATAAAAACCAGGCCAGGAATATGACTTGAGTCAAGGAAGAATAATATTTGTTATTTCTCATAACTTATATATTTGCTGTCACAAGATAGCTGTCAAACATTAATGCAAATAGTAGAGGAAATATCTTCTCAATAAAATGTTTCTGTGAGAGGGATTATCTTTATATAGTTTAACTTATCCCGAAAGCGAAGATTCTGATCCTTTTTCTGCTGGATAAACGAGAGAGTTTGTGGCTGCTTTCGTTGGAACTCGAATGTCTAGATTTCTATTTGCCCTTACATGCCCTTATATTTGAGTCTGATGGATTTAAACAGTCCTTAGTTTATATCCTATAGACGATATGCGGCTGAGCTCCAAAGGCGGAACTTGCTTAGGATTAAGTTTCGTAGAACTGTAAGTAATAACAGAAACTTGCCGTTACCACAGAAGGGAAAAAAATGAAAGAAAGAAAAGTAAATTCATTTCTGTATCAGTTCGTACTTACATGACACGCATAGGGTTAATAAACTATCTTTTTATTAAAGCAAAAAGCATTTCGTCTCTTTGCGACCAGATTGGGAAATATTTCAATTTATGCTAATTAGGACAAGACCGGGAAAATGGAGCATTAATTACAAATAGATCGATGACGTTTTAAAATGGCCGGCTATAAACGTCAGTGATAGAAAGGAGATAATGCACATGCCTGCTGTTTTTGGTCAAACGTTTTATCAGTACACGATAAACTGGCACATCAGGTGACAATAAACTGTCTTTTTTGCGTTTGAATTTGAAATTAATCTTGTTTGGGGATCCCCCTGTAAACAGTATATCGAAACATATCCTGCGTTAAACCTCACCTTTGAGTTTTAATTGCTGGGCGTGTTTGTATTTTCACAGGCAACAAACTCAGACAATTTAAGAAGCGAACAAAAGAAGGCAAAAGTCACCAAAAGTTAGGAGAGAAATACAACTGATCAAAAGAGCTAGGAAATTTGAGGTATGAAAACTATACAACTTAATAACAAGAATGATATGGAGGTGAGGGGTGATTTTTTCTTGTACATTATTTCTTAGTATTTCAGTGATATTCTTACTATGAATCATGACCAACGTGAGTGCAATATTCTTGTTCATTTCGGCACCACTTTGCTGTAGAGGGCACATCTGTTGTCTTGTCATTCACGACTATCTCCTTTCATCCTTCCTTCCTTCCTTAATTTCAGCGGTTAAAAGACCTCCCCAAATCCAATAACTGTTTTATTATTTATTAAAAATAATTCCTAGTTTTAGAAAATAGACTAAAGCTTACCTCAATAAAAGTTAAGTTCCCGTCTTTAATTGCACATTTCTCGTCAAGCTCTGAAGATATTCTACAAATAGCAGATGTCGTCCGAAAAGAGAAACTGGCATTAAACATTGTGTTTCATTTTAGTATTTCTTCATTTTGTTTTCTATTAATTCAATAAAAGTCTACATTTTACTTTGTGTTGCATGTCTGTACTGTCGCACTTTGTAATAATCGTCGCACTTTGT